TTGAACAGAATCTTCCTCGCAATCTCAGCTAACCCCGCACTGATTCAGGATTTATTTGGCCACTGCTTCCACCATGAGCATTAAATCCAGTAACAGGCATCGACTGCTGAGCAAAATTCAATAACTTCCTCTGACACTCATCAGTGTGGGGAAGACTAGCACGAAGAAGTTCCACTGGCATTTCCTTGCTAACAGCTCTTGCAGCCTCTGAACCAATTACCTCTGTGTTTGCCTGGCCTTGAGTAAATATTGATTGCATTATACTGTCATATTTACTTGCACAATACTTTGTCAGCAGACCAAAGAAGGCATCAAAAGAAGCCTGCCAAAGGCCAAGATTGGGCATACTAAAATTGCTGGCAGCTTTAGGATCTCTTAACAAGTGAGTTGCTCGTTCTAAAACAGATTTCACGACGACTGAAGCACCATCTCCAGCAGGGCTCCCAAGTGGTCGGAGAGGTGGCTGTTCTGATGAACAAACTAACGCAGCAAGACAAGCACTAAGTGAATTAAGATCCATACCAGTGACACAAGTAGAGACTGTCTTGGCAAGATTATTAATAGTCTCAGCTGCACTTTGATCAGAAGGATGGCCCCCAAACAAAAATCTTAAATGACGAAAGATGGCCATGCAGACTATTCGGACAAGCTCACTACCAGGTAAAATGAGCTGAAGGAACCTTGAAATCAGCTTCCGACCTTTGGAATGAGAGACTATGCGTAGAAACACAATATCATCCTTGGCAGCCAGCCCAGCAGATTTGCCACTTTTTCCAAGTGGGTCAACAAGCTGAAGAGAGGCTGCTAACCCTTCTAATAAAATCTGCCGCTTCCGCCTAAGCTGATTGCCACCATCTTGGGGATGACTAAATTGTAGAAGACGGTCAACGTCATCTACATCCAAAAGAAGACAAAGACCATCCTCAATTGTTACTCTAGCAGCAAACATGGGTTCCTTCTCCAGAGGCTTTTCAGATATTTTTGGTTCAGCACCGCAATCACCACAAGCAGAGGGAGGGGGGTCGACTTCAAGAACAGGGCAGGGTCTACGTATAGAAGAAAAACAAACCCTCCCAAGAGAATCAACATGGAGATGTGGCTGTGATTCTGCACTATTACGGGAACGGGAAGATTGGTCCCTCTGGTGGGATGGGCAGAATCGATATTTTGACCTCGTTTCCGCCGATTTCTTTGCAAGACGAGCTTGGTGGTAATAATCATTTATGTATGGGTCATTACCATGGTTTGTGGCTTGCTGTATTTTAATAATACTCTCTATCTCTTCAGTTGTCATGTACTTAGATCTGAATTGTGGTAAACTACTATCAGTCCACTGACTACTAGAATCAGATCCATGATTGGAGAATCGCACGCTGTGTTTGCCTTTGGCTGATTTGGGTTTTGACTCTCTCTTATCATATTTACTCAAATGTGATGGTGAAGGAAAGGTGTTAAATTGTTGAGATCTCAGTGGTGAAAAATTAGATAAAGCTGGTTGAGCTTGAAGATGAAGTCGATGTTGCTGTGGGGAAAGTAGCTGAGGTGATAATGACCCGTTTTGATATTGATGCTGAAAAACATTGTTCAAGAGGAGAGAATGATTCCCGTGGAGGAGACCAGCATGGCTAGTCCAGAAGTTTTGCAGGCGTGGATTATGAGTGATATTTGTTGAGGCCAGTTGCGATATGTTTGTATTGTATTGAAACCCACGGCTCGTTCCGGGAAAATGCAGAGCAGAATTAGATAATGCAGAGTTGTTTGACACGGAGAATGGTGAATGATGTCCGCCAGAGAGAGATGAAATATTAAGATAATTCGAATTATTCAGAGAAGCTTGTTGAGATCCTGGTGGAGGGAAGGAAGTGAAAGATGACTTGGGAACTAAAATAGGCTCACTAGAAAAGTGTTGCAGTTGCTGAGGCTGCTCGGGGTATGAAGAAGTTCTATATAGTGGTTTTGATTCTGGAAGTTGCAATGAAGAGAGATGTGGTTGTGATGACCACCTCTTACTTTCTTGGTAACATTCTGAGTCAGACATGTGATGGTCAAGCCAATCAGGATAAGGAAAATCTGGCTCTTGTGCCCATTCTGCAGCTGATGAACCTGAAATAACATTGTGTTAAACAGAGAAACAAAAATTAAATTGAGGTCAAAGACATTGCCCAGAGAGTCACTTAAAAACCAATTTTGATAGACAAGCAGTTAATGTGGGCATGTCATGCACTTAAAAAAAGAAACAGCATATCATGGAATCAGAAAGTTTGATACTTCATATTTCTTGACTAATAAACCCAATAAAGCATCCTTAGAAAATCAATAGAGGGAACGAGAAATAAATTAGAAGTACTAAAATCTGTTTTAAGACTATCTTTTTTTTTTTTTTACATAAAGGAAAGAAACACACAGGTACACCATCTATTTGCCATTAATGACCATGTTTTTGTTGATGTAGATTCCATATTTCATGTCGGTGCTGAACCCGACCACGATAATCTTTTACGGAGGCCATTTTTCTTACCCCTATGTCCCTCTTCAACTATTTTAAGATCTGCCATTTTGGTTTAACATTCTAAGTAATTGTTTTGTTGTTATAATTTCCACCCATACACTAGTCTCGTTTATGAGATCAAAGTTCCTCTAAATCAATCCAACGGTTGATCCTAGGCAAACCAACAAATGACATATCAGTTTGGTGCTTGAGAGTGTTGAAAATAAGAAAAGTGTCCTACCCTCTGTCCTCTGATGGACGGGTTAAGGTAAAGAAGATAGTATAGGATACTTGAATAAGATATCAACTTGGAACATAGTGACACTTGAAAGAAAATAATAGAACTGGTAGATGTGATTGGGAGGAAAGAAAATGTGACTTACATAGAAGAGGTGAAATGGGTGCAAGAGAAGGTGAAAGAATTACGGAACATGATACATAATTCGGTATAGACAAGAAAAAGCAACAGAAATGGTTATTAAGAAATAAGGAAAGAGCTAAAGCGGTTCATAGAGCAAGCCATTGGAACCTGCAAGTTTCGGAGTAAGGAAATGGGGATGAAAACGAATATATGCAATATCTAATAGAACAAGTTTGATTCTTCAATTATAGACAAATATTAGAACGCACTTTCCCTCGAAAAAGATCCAGATCCTCGATCACCAATAACTCCAGGATGCCTTGGTCCAGATACAGCTTTGTTTAACTGCAAAAATGAGAAACAGAATATTGCAGCATTACAATATAAAACTCTTTTCCTTATATGTAACCAGTCACATTTCAAATTTTGTAAATTTGGAGAAATTTAAAAAATTTCCTTAGTTTAAAGTGCAGGCAATTAAATGGTTAAGAAGAAAATATAAACTGGGAAAATTATTATTGTAAGAAAACTTACTTCCAACCTAATATTAGTTGCTTCCAAATTACTTAATAGAGATGAGTTCTCTTCAAATTTGGGGACATACAATAAGGATTGTTTCATGAGCTAACTAGTTTTATTACCTTCTAGCTAAAGTAGGAGTTTCTATACTATACTAGTGATGTCCCCCTTTTCTGGTTGCTATGGAGTGGAATAGTAAAATAAAATAATAGTAAAATAATATTTTATTCTACAGATTTGCATCTTTTGAAGGTGAGAATCAATTAGGATCAAAGGATTCTATGATTCTATTTTGGTTTTATTCTTGTACTAGCGAATATCAATTTTCATATTCAGGACTCAAGCAATTGAGAAGTAGGAAATGTCAACTATTCCTATAACAAGTACAATAATGATAACTCACCATTGTGATAAGTGAGGATTTAAAATACCAATTAAATGTACAGAATCAAAGAAACGGTTGTCAGATACCTTAAAGTCCTATGCAAAATCTACACTTTCCAAGCCCCCATTTTGGCCCCTATTATTTGAGATTTTAATTTTTTTGGAATAGTGTTTTTTTGGAGATTGAGTGGTTGAAAAAGGAGGAAAAGTTTTCGATTTACGTGTAATATTATTTTATTCGAGAATGTGTGGTTAAAAAGAAGAGAGGGAAAAATGTATCAAAATTTTATTTTTTGCCAAACCATGTACAAGTATGACAGCAGCAACAGTATTTCAGATGGCATTTCAGCTCTCAAAGATTTACATGGTAGTTTGGCTATGAAGCACGGCCACTGACACCGACACGAACATGTGTATCAAACATGTGTCGAGCATGCTGACACACGATTTTTTGAAAAGTACCAATAAGACACGTTGCTGAATATAAAAGGGGTGATTGCTATATCCCTTGGGGATATAATGATAATTTCTTCAATCCCAAGGAAAGTTACTTCCTTTCCTATCAAGAAAAAAAAGGCTAAAATCAGTTTGTTCCCTCCCAATTGATTGATATTTAATAAGGTGTATCTTTCTCTTCTAAAAAATAAAAATCATTATCTACTTAACAAATAAAACATGTTACATGTCATTTAATTAAGGCAAGTAGGGTTCCCCTAATTAAGCACATGTTTACTAAGAGAGTGTGTGTATTACTATAGAATCATAAAAGTCGGTTTGGTTCTTTAAATAAGGTTTCTTTTGCCATTAGCATCATTCGAAAAGATAAAAAATGAAAACAGCCCAACACTGCAGACACCCACCGGCAGAGGCGAACGCAGAAGTTTAAAGTTGGGGGCACAGTCGAACTTGCAAAGAAGTTGGAAGAAATTTTACAATCCAAAATTTACGTCTAAAAAAATTATACCCCATGTAATTTTGCATTCGAAAATTTACATGAGATATCACTTTTTCGGTTGTAAAATTTCGAAATTTTTTGATGTCATATTCCATATAAAATTTCCTAATAAAATGATAAAAATTATATTGAAAAATTTGTATCTCAAAAATAATAAATGTTAATGAAACAATTGAATTTTCTTTTTTTAAAAAAATGCAAGTTAGACGTCTTTCTTTAAGATTCACGTTGAACTATTTTCGATATCTGTTTGGACTATTCGATATGCCCATAATGTAGTTCTCGAAATACGC